CCTTGGGACACGTGTGATGTGCTGGTCACGCTGTCACGAGGCGGTGTTGCAATTGCAACGCTGCTACCGGATGTCCTCGATTTTTGTAGTGCATCATGCAAAATTGTATTATGAGGTTGCGAGCACTTGCGACATACGTGTTTGGAATTGCATTCTTTTCCATTATGCGAGAATAGGCAATTTACACAAAGTCCCAATTTATTTACTGCGTTTAATTTTTTGTCGTCAGCTAATTGTAAAAATGATTTACATTTATAAATGCCATGTTCGTGTTTACACATCGGGCACGTGAAATTCGTCACGTTGCAAGATTTTGCAATTGACCAATGTCCTGTGGTATTTGTTCGATTACCATTATAAAGTAGCGAATTATTTTGGTTTGATTTCGTAAACGCAGCCTTTTGATTGTTATATGAATGTTGGTAATTAATCTTTTGCAGGGTAGCATCTTGTTTTCTGCGTGATGATGTTTCCAAATTGGTAAACCGACTCTCCAAAAACTCTAACAGTTCTTGTAATATCGGTAGTTCCCGTGGTTGTTTCAGGCTCTCGAGGTAGTCGTTGTAGGTCTCACTGTCTAATTTTTGTGAGAGTAAATGAACCAATATGGGGTCCCATGTTGTTATGTCTACTCCGAGATTTTTTACAGCATTTAATGTTTCGAGCGTAACGTCGTGCATCCTCTTAATTTGAGATACAGAGTTATGCTGAATGTTAGGCAAACTAAACAAAATGTTCATATGCGATGTAAAGATTAACTTTTTATTGTTATAGCGATGATTTAAGATTTCCCAACAGGATGCGTAGTTTTCGGAACTGATGTATAAATGTTGAATTAATCTTTCCGCTTCACCTTTAACTTTTGTCTTCAAAATCTGCATCTTCTGTGAATTCGGCATTGAAGAATTGTTATGTATCGCATCGGTAAATAAATCTTTAAACGACACCCAACTGTTATAGTTTCCGTTAAACACAGGTATATCTAACTTGGGGGTCGATTTTTCCCTATATGAAGCTGACCACATCCTTTTGTTTATTTCCTTTTTTAGGTTGTTAAATTGTTCTTCATGTTGACAAAAGGAAGTTTCATACTGTAGGTCACTCCCCATTAATTCTGAATCAATTTCCAAATGTAAACTGTCAATGAGAGTCCAACGGCTTTCAAGAGTTTTAGGGCATCTTGAAACTCCCATTTTTCCGACATATTCTCAATGTTAATGTTCGCAATTGTTCTCACGAAAGCTCTGAAATTAGCTTCTTGTTTGCGCAATGATTCATCCAATCTACTATAACTACCCTTTTCTGGACGCTGTGGTTGGGGCGTCGCTGACCCTTCTTGCCTGTTACTTACAAATGGTTCCGGTTTGTCTTCGCTCGACGTTCCCGGTACCGCCGGTTTACTTACCCGACTATAACCCGCATTAATAGCTTTTAAAAATTTATTATAAATTTCTTTAGCCTGTTCATTATAAATTTCAGTAAAGTAGACATCTGTTTGACTTATTTCCATACAAATCTGTTCATGCGTGCCTTGAAACGCCTTCCACAAATCGTCGAGTTTTGCCCAAGCTTTCTTAAAATACTCAGGCTTGCTCTTCCTCTCCCTACCATCCTTGTTAAAGTTTTCCCACAATCTCTCCAACTCCTGAAATAGCTGGTACTGGTTTTCGAGAAGAGACATGTCGTTTGTGGAATGTGGTGTAGCTTAATATAAAAAAGGAAAGATCTTACTTGAATCTCCGTAGATCTTAAATGTTGCTGATGATGTTAGCTTACGGGCCGACGTCGATGTCGTGATGTTCTCCGAGAGCTGACTATGGATGTGACTGTAACTGCAGCTCGCTATCCTGGATGTTTCTTGTTATATCACTGCAATCTTTCACCACTGTTCACAATGTTTGTTGCACTAGTTCGTAATGTTCACCTCACTTATCGATAACCGACACTGAGTCCAATCACCAATCCGTGAGATCCGGCTCGAAGGACCAAAATGTAGAGTGTTCGGATTGCGAGTGATTGTTAGTGGAGAAGAAGAAAGATAAAATTGTTAATGTTCAGTTTAAATAGTTTAATAATATCACGTACACACGATACAATGAATTATAAATGTTAAGAAATGTTAAAAATGTTATTGAATGCACACCCGGTCGCGGTGCTTCCGTTAAATGCACTGAAATTAATAAGTAAAATTAATATTCAAGCGCACGCGACATGATGCGTAATCATAAAATGTGTTTGGTGTTAAATAGAACACCGAACATAGGCTAAGGCTAATTAATTTTGTTTTAAGAATATGGGATTCTTTTTCCAAAAGTAGTTATTTGTTTATTGATTATTGTTACATTTTCATCGCATTTCAAATCAAAAAATTCGTTTAAATTTTTTCATGCAAAACGGTAATTTCATAGGTAAAGACAAGGTAAAGACCTATTATAATCATATTTATTGTTATGTACATAAAATTTTTAGGCACTTAGTTAAAATTAAACTTTCCACGTAATTTCAACGTCAAATTGTAACCAACTAGTTTCGTCTAGGGTCTAGTGTCATCTAGGGTTTCACCCATCTAAAATACCAAATCGGTCCATCCATTATTCGATCACATTTATATTATTAGTAGAATCAACTAGTTCTTGATTCTCAACATCATCATCATCATCATCTTCCTGCCCTTGTCCCGTTTTATTTGGGGTCGGCGCAATATGTTTTTTTCTTCCATTCTGTCCTGTCACTCGTCACGCTATCGCTAACTCCTCTGTCTTCCATATCACTTCTCACACAATCCATCCACATTTATACTCATGACTCTTTTTGTTACATGCTTTTCATCCCTCCTTTTCACATGGCCATACCAAGACAAACGGTTCCCTTTCAACTTTTCAGTCACTGGCGCCACTTTCAAACTTCTTCTAATATACTCATTTCTCACTTTATCAGCTCAGCATTCTCATCTCTGCCACATGCAATCGCTTTTCATCCGTCTTTTTCAGAGCCCAACATTCTGACCCAAACAGTAGGACAGGCCTTATCACTGACTTGTAGATTTTACCCTTCAACCTGAGCGGCATCCGTGGGTCGCAAGTTGTTCCAGTGACCTGTCGCCATTTCATCCATCCTGAGTTGATCCGATGTGCCACGTCTCGGTCTATCTCACCATTTCCTTGGATAAGCGAGCCAAGGTACCGAAAATCAGAACAGGTTGGTATGGGCGTTACGGCGAGAGCTATGAGCACAGAACTAGAGAGACCGCCAAAATCGCAGAACAAGTACTCTGTTTTAGTTCTGCTCAATTTTAGGCCAACACTCTCCAGTCTATGCCACCACACCTCCAATCTGCTCTGGACCTCTAGGGCACTCTCGGCAACCAGCACAATATCATCGGCAAACAGCATACACCAGGGAGCCTCTTCCTGAATGTCCGACGTCAGAGCGTCCATTATTATCAACATGTAATTTTATTTTTGTTTCAGCTATAGTTTACAAAATTCTGAGCTGGCCTTCGTTCACTCCTCTCAGCCGACTCTCCTACGGAATTTATATGACCCATTCTCTCGTCATACAGAGGTATAAGTTCGCACAAAGATCGCCTCATGTCTTTGATATATTTTGCTTGGTAAGTATAAGTTAAGTATTAAGATTAGAAAGGGTCGCCCCGACCGGGGTGATACCACGGCCTTACAGAAAACTGGCGTGGAATAACCACAATGACACTTCGCCGTGTCGGTGAGGTTCCTGGAGGCCCAATTCCTCCTCCTCACGCCATCCCTTCCCAATCCTTAAATATCCGAAATCCACTCACTCGGAACTCCTTTGATCTTGCCACCCTCTATGGTCGGCGTATGCTTACCATCAGGTAATCCGTCTGCTCGTTTGCCGACCTATAACATAAAAAGAAGACATACTTATTGCTGTGTCTAAGACTAACTATATTATACTGGACTGAATATCAATAATGTTTAATGCTAAGTACGTGCATAGCTATGTCCGGTTTAGGCTCAGCTTTGGCACTAAAGTGTAAGGGCTTCCTTCTGTTTTTTAGTATACCTACTATCAGGACCCCAGTTATTCTTTTACTAAATCTTATAAGCAATTTGTTGCTGTTATTACCATATTATTGGAATAGAGAATGAAACAGTCCAATAATAGTTTATTATAAAAGAATTTGTTCAAAACTATAACTTTTTTCACGTTTTTTTTAAATAAAAAATGGATTGGGTATTTATCTGTGCTTACTAATATATAAGGAGGTAAATTTTATAAGTTTGTATGTAGGGGGTAAACATTGGAACCGCTGGTCGGAGTTCCAAAATTCTTTCACTGATAGATAGCTACAATGTTCCCGAGTGCTATAATAGGCTAAAAACATCACGCTATGATTAAATGGAGCCGAGCAGCGGGTGAAACCGCGCGAGAGTAGCTAGTTTTACATATACTTCGAGCCTATTGATAGTCCAGTAGGTTTGTTTAAAGACCAGTTTTCTTTTCAGATTTACGACCTAGTAGGTACTCTGGGGATATCAATAGGGCTAAGTTACGCGATGTGGCTGTTTGTGGAGGCGCCACTGATAAACATCACAAATCAACTCTTCTTCAACAAGTACGTTACCATTTTCTTACAATTCACCACGGCCCATAACCTATCACATATAAAAATCTCTTTTACCCTACCCAGGACTAACCGGGGTTGCGGGGTAAGCGCAATGAAGCACCGCAGCTTTGGCTAAGAGCAGGAGAAGGAATGGGGGGTTTTTAGTCAGTAAGAGTATCACAATTCCTCTCGCCTCACCCTGAGCAGGAGAAGACATTTGATGATTGACTTCGACTTTGACTTTGATTTTCCCCTAATAAAAAAACCCCATCTAAGACCCTTTTTCTCACTCCACTGTTTCAATTCATTTGCATCATCCTATGTTCCATTATTGAGAGACTTTATTGAAAATTCTCTCTTAGACCTCGTGGTGGTTCTCTCTCTTGATCTAATTTTGTTGTGTTATGTACAGGACAAATGGAAAACGTGCAGATAGAAGTCGCGTTGACAATGGAATAAGAAACCAAAATGGAAAACCTAAATCTGAAATATCGTAAGTTTAAACAAACGTTAACGTTTTGTTATTACATCACATCGAGTTAGAAATAGAAATAATTTATTTGCAAAAAATTATGTTTACAAAAAAAGGATGGATAATTTTATAGGGTCTCAATACGTTTAAACAATTTATTTAGCTACACATACCTACATAAATTGGCAACAGACAAAAATATACAAAAAAAAAACATTAGCCTATCAGCACCCACTGCTGAGCAAAAGCCTCTTCCGACACGGAGAAGGTTTGAGCATTAATCGCCACGCTTGTTCAAGGCGGATTGACGACTTCAAACTTATAATTCAAAATTATGAGGCCAGATTTCCTCACGATGTTTGGCTTTACCGTATGCCAGTTTATAAATTATATGTAAATCGGTAAAAACCACATTGGTACTGTTTGCCAGGTTTCGCACCCACATGTATGAGAAAAGCCGGGGTTGCGGGGTAAGCGCAATGAGGTACCGCGACCTCGGCACAGAGCAGGAGAAGGTGCAGGGGGGTTTTTAGTCAGTAAGAGTCTGACACTCCCTCCTGCCCGGCCCTGGGCGGGAGAAGTCATTTGATGATTTTCCCCTCACATGTATGAGAAGCGTCTTAACCTCAGGGCCATCACTAAGAAAGTTTTTTTTTTTCTTGTTTGTTAATTTTTTGACTAATTCAATGAGCAATTATGACTGATCAGTTTTTTTTCCGAACAGGTTAAATGGAGTGCAACCAGATAAAAGTTGTGGCGAGAATGGAATCCGACATCAGAATGGAATAACTAAAACTAAAGTTTCTTAACGTTATGCTCTTATCATTTGTTTTCAAGTCAAAGAAAAGTCAAATCTAAGGTACACGGTTTCTCAAAACGAATATGGACCATCATACATATGTAAATATAGTGTGGGAGAGCCATGCTTCGTCTCGAAAGGTTCTCGACGGACGAACGAGGGCTCAACCGGAGTGATACCACGGCCTCAAAGAAAAAACGTGAAACAACGGCCTTTGTTTTTTTGTATGGGATAAGTCGGCAAATGAGCAGACTTATTACCTGATGGAAGGCAATCGGCGCCGCCCATGGACACCCGCAACACCAAAGGAGTAACGAGTGTGTTGCCAACCTTTTGGGGATTAGTAGGGATTGGGGGCAGGGGATGAATTGGGAATCCGGTAACCTCATTCACACGGCGAAACACAACGCCGGTTTTCCGTGAGGCCGTGGTGCCATTGCGGTCAAGCCGACCCATTCGTGCCGAAGCTTGGCTCTCCCATACTTAAACTCATTGAAACCACACTTTTTGTCTGTGAGAGTAAGTAGTATGGTAATAGTAGCCGCGTCACGTTCCCGAGCGTACGGCGCGTAGCGTTCCGCGCGCGCCTCAAAGGGCCAATAGACCTCCACAGACAGGTAAGCGCAATGAGGCACCGCGACCTCGGCCCAGGAGAAGGAACAGGGATTTTTTAGTCAGTAAGAGTCTGACACTATGGGCGGGAGAAGTCATTTGACGATTTCGCCCTCACAAAAAAAACCGCGTCACGTTGTACTGCAGTCAGTTGCTTATCCACTGCTCCAGTCGTGCACTCGTATAAATAAACATGAGTGACTAGTAATTGTACCTATTTAATAAAATTAAATTATATTGTACATAATTTATATTGACCTTGCAGTTCATTGCACTGAAGCTATTGATCAACTTTCAATTTTTGAAAGGGAAATATTATTAAAGTGACTTTTTTATGTCATTGGTCAGCTAACGTGCACACGGATTACCTGATAGTAAGCAATCAGCGCCGCCCATACACACCCTCAACAACAGAGGAGTTACGAGTGCGTTCCCAACCTTTTGGGGATTAGGGATTTGGAGATTTGGGTAAGATTGGGGCTTCGGTAACCTCACTCACACGGCGAAACACAACACAGTGGTTGTATCAAACTAGTTTCCTGTGAGGCCGTCGTATCACTCCGGTCGAGCCGACCCATTTGTGCCGAAGCATGGCTCTCTCACACTCTCTCTTCTCTCGCATTAGGAGGAGAGAGGGAGTGTCAGACTCTTTCTGATTAAAACACAACCCGTTTCTTCTCCTGCTTCAGGTCGAGGTCGCGGAATACTATTGTGATTGACCCACAACGCCGAATGAACTAGTATACTATTCCTTAGCCCTATTGGGCCCAGACTGTGGTGGTCTATGGGCTTCTAGGCGGAGTTTCATGTAACAGATGAAAATATAATTATAAAGTAGGATCCTATTCTGGCCAAAAGCGAGTATCAATCCTGCTTATATTATAAACGCGAAACTTTGTTAATAGGGATGGACACTAATGAACAAATCTGTATGGAATTTGGCATAAAGACAGTTTTTTTAGTCTTGAATAATAAATAAGTAGGATTTACCCTGCTTCAAAAACATGTTGGCTACTTTTTTTTAGTAAGAATTACCAATCACATAGGTACTCATCTATTTAGGTATTTTATGAACCAGTTTATAATTTGGAGTTTCTTTTTGTAATAAAATTATAAGGCACAATAATGGACGCAATGTCATACATTAGGTATAAACCGCCCGACTTCACACGGCTGCAATGCTGATACTAAATTTTTCCACAATTTAATGGAGGCTATTAGGCATATAACCCTCCTTCTTTAATCACCCTATATTTTGATAAAACTGAACTGAAACTTGAAAACCTACTATTAATAAATTCAACAGAATAATACAATAGAGATATGCCAGAATCGACGTAATTGGCATTCCATTGTCTCAATAAGAGACAGGTTATTATACTGTGTATTCACATAAAAATAAATGATTTCACAGAATAAAACAATGCCGCCTGCCCTGATAAAGTATGCAATATTAAACTTTGGTGCATCATATTGCTATGAAAATTATACCAGGCGTTATGTCACTTTTAATTGCAGTTTATAGCTATAATTATGTACAATTAAGTCTTAAATTACGCTTATTACTTAATTTGTATGTTTATTGAATGTAAATTAACATAAATAACAATGTTTTAAAGCGCTAATTGCTATTTTTATGGCAAATGAAAAATAACCTATCGCTTATTTTGTACTATCAATATTTAAGTACTTCCTTATTAATAATGCGTAAATGGTCAACCATTTTTGTTTCGCAAGAGACTGTTAGTCGCCCGGAATTATTAGTAGCGAGCTGGCAACAGCGCGGCGACCGCGCGTAGCACTGCAAACACACTTTTAGTAAATAGTATCGCTGCGCGCTTGCTGTACCTACGTCAAACGATTTTGCTGTCGTAACTTTATATTTTTTAATACTTTTAAGTGTTATTCTTGTGTAAATTAGTTTGATAATTTATATTATTATATTTTTACAACATGTGGGACCCTCAATTAGCGCAGATTGATACAGAATTGTTGATTAAAACTGTAAAAGCGCGTCCAAGTCTGTGCGCGCGGGATTCGCCGAAGTATGGAGATGTAAATTATAAAAAGGTTATGTGGGAAGAGGTTGCAAACATCTTGTTCTCCGATGTCTGGGAGAAATTTAAAGACGACGAGAAAGCCGAAAAAGGTGAGTTATTAATTGTTTTAGTTATTTACCAACAGTCCATTTTGTTCTTTTTTATTTAATTTTGACAGCTGATGTCAATAACTGTTGTCAAACTTTTATTAATTATTATTATTTGTATGGTCTGTAATGATTAAAAATTATTGATTAATTTAATAGTTATGTATGAAAAAAAGCGTAATAACACAATTTTGGCTTTAACTTAGTGTAAGTATGTAAATTATACCATTCCCATGCTTCTATGTATATGCTCGAACGTCAACGCCATCTATTGACTGGTTATGTAAACTAAATGAGTAAGAAATTTTCTGTTCACGAAGACATTTTGTATACCCACTGTTTATTGTTAATATTTGATTAGCATTATAGCATCGGTGGTTAAGCAGTTAGGTATGATAGCTAAAATAAATATAATTTTAGCAATATTTGCAACCTACTTGTACTTACCTATTTATTTTAGAGCGTGGAAAAGTAATCAAAATAAAACCTTATTTTTTCAAACTTAATTTATTTTCATCGAGTATCGTGTTAACCACCATCTTTTTATTATTATTATGAGTATCATTTCACTATGGGGCACGTTCTTATTATACTTAGTGCCTTTAATAATCTCTAAAAAGACACTCTTGCTACATGACAATATGAATTGATGACGTTGTGATCATACAGATGCACACAATTCCATCTACTGAACTAGTGGGGCGGGAAATTGCACAATTTGCACATAAATATTAGCATTCCATCATTTTTATTTCATACTAGACGCCTGGCGGTCTATTGTATACTTTATTGTAGTTTTCTGCAATCTTACAACACATTGCTCTTGTGGTTTTGTCAGGCGTTTTTAATAGTATGAATTTTGCATTATATGTTTTTACTGTTGTATTGTGATTAAGAGCTAGAGTTATTAACTTGTTTTTTTCTCTACTTTGAATAGTATCGTAAGTAAGATAAATCAAACATAGAATTCGGCAGCTTCAACTAGATTTTTTACATATGATTTGACGCGTAAACGTGCTGTTTTATGGCCTATTTACAGAAATAAATTAATTGTTTCAATCCGGCATGAAAAACCACTGGCGTGTTGTTTTGCCATGTGAATAAACTGGTGTCCCAATCCCTTTCCTCCCCCTTACCTAACGCTTCTTAATCGAAAAAACCCTAACCCCCAAAAGGCCCAGAAACGCACTAGTTGCTCTTTTAGTGTTTCGGGTGTCAAGCCGATTGCTTGCTACTCGATCAAATAAATAAAGTGCTCTACTCAAATGGAAATAAAACCTTAAAGCGCTATCTTTAAAGCTAACATTACGCCCCAGACAACTACATACATTACTTATGTCAATCAAGTACAAATATTTTAATTTTATTTCACAGTAAAACTTGTACAACGGCGGTGGAAGAACCTTCGTGCATGTTTCCGGAGAGAAACAAATCGACAATCGGACCCGAAATGGACATACGGAGT